AAAAACTTGCAATGTTGAAAGTATATCTGCCTTCCTCTCCTTTTACTATCTAGAAAACCAGAGAGGGTGCTTTCTGAAATGCTTCCCACACGCTCCTTTGTTCTGTGGATTGAGATATTTTTAACATGCTTATAGTTCACTCTGGCTGTCCCAAGGTCATTGTACATAGCATTACACACTCATCATTACATAGATTAAACCTAGAAGAATAAGTGAGTGGGCAGAAATGTCAGTGATAAGGAGATATGTCTTTTCCAAGATCATCAATGGCATCTCCAGCCCCTCGAACAGAAGCGGTATTTAGCAGGTTCTGATCAGTACTGGAGAACAGGGAGCGGAAATTTTGAGTAGTTCAGAGAACCAGTAAATACCNGAAAATTGGGACTTTTTAAAAATGCCCCAGGACATGGGACAAATTGTTATAAATCGTGACTGTCCTGCTGAAATCGGGACATCTGGTCACCTTAGGCATGTTGCAGACCCTGTCAGTTAAAGAATTCCAGCGGGTGGGGTTTATGAAGAGAGAGTCCTCTGCTATGGCCTCCATCCTGTGGAATATTCTGCCCTCAGAAGTGAGGGAGCCCCCACCCCTCTCCTGACCTTCCAAATAGGAGTTAAAACATGTTTATATGACCTCATGGGGGAGACCAGAGGAACATGCAGCTGTGGGACTGGTTGGTGCCCCAAGACCCTTCCTTTCACCTTTTAAAAAGGGTTTAATCATCCTTGTTTCCTTTTAAATTTTTATTTTTATATGCTGTTTTTATATTTAAGCATTTTATCATACACTATCCAGAATTCCTCTCTGAGGGACATGGGTGATTCAAAAATGTGATAAATATGTATGTATGTATGTATGTGTGTGTGTATGTATGTGTATGAATTTAATGACATGTTTATTTCAATAAGTGGTGTAGGGTTTCCTGCCTAGGCAGGGGTTGGGCTAGAAGATCTCCAAGGTCCCTTCCAACTCTATTATTCGATGAATATGTGCATCTGCACACATCTGTAGCATGATTGTAGCTTTCTACTTTCTCTTTAGCCCAGAGAAATAGATGCGGCTTTCTGGATACAAAAGCTATTTAAATAGCATTAATGAAAGTTAAAGAAAGTTGTAATAAATCCAATTTCAAATAAAGATATAATTAAATGGAGATGGAACTCTTAGTAACTATATCGTATTATATGAATAGAAATGTGAGATTAGAAATGAAATCATTCTCTCTGATATTTAAAAATGTGAATTTTTTAATTTCCTTATTCATATCATTACTGAAGACTATGATAGTGCATGTATGAATCAGGTAAGAGTCTGAAGCCATAAATCAGGAATGGGTAATCTTTTTTTTTTACCATTTTTTAAAATTAAACAAACATTACACACAAAAAATAGTCATCTTACATTACATCTTGTAGAAAGTGTGTCAATTGGTTATAATTAGCTTTCGTGCATCTTTTCCACAGTCATTNAGCCCCTCGAACAGAAGCGGTATTTAGCAGGTTCTGATCAGTACTGGAGAACAGGGAGCGGAAATTTTGAGTAGTTCAGAGAACCAGTAAATACCACCTCTGACTGCCCCCACCCCCGTCTATTCTCTGCCTCCTGAGTCCCAGCTTATTTTGCAGTAACCTTCCCCTGGAGTGGGGTGGGAATGGAGATTTTACAGTATCCTTCCCTTGCCATACCCACCAAGCCATGCCCACCAAGCCACGCCGACAGAACAATTAGTAATTATTTTGAATCCCACCACTGCCCTCTAACCCAGAGCTGTTACATCATTGAGATAAGAGACTTATTGGTTGGTCAATAATATGTTGCATTCATTATCAGAGCATTCCTTTCAATGATATCTATACACATTTTGTACTATTTATAACCATTCTTGTCATTTCCTAGCTTTGTTATGTCATAGCAAATTAAATTGTTATACAAAAGCCCTTGTTTTGTTTTGTGAATCACTGAATGAATTATTTGAACTCATTGACCCAGATTTCTCTTCTCATATGCTCAAAAGGAAAACCTAGTAAATTCATTTCAAGAATATTTCTGGAAATACAATTCTGTTTTCTTCATTTCCCCTAATTTGGGAAAGCTTACATCTGCACTTATGCATATCAAATTCATGTTTACTTTGACCTCGTTGGCTTCCTTTGAGGTTCAGGGTTTCTTTGTTTCTCAGACAATGTGCTCAGAAGGCTCTTAAAATTTGGCATTTAGCTTCAACACTGCATCCCCATGATAGTATTAACATTTGGGGAACATTGAATCAAAGCACTCTTAATTGCCTTTGTAAACTGAAAATTGCTGGGGTATGCAAATAGAAACAATTGTCACACTATTCCTGTCTGGGTCTCACTATGCAAAGTAAAACTAAGGCACTTTTGGGAATATTAACCTATTACTGGTGTTGGGATCTAGCGGTGATGGGTTTCAAATTTTTTTTGGAACCTCTTCTGTAGGTGTGGCCTGCTTTGTGGGAGTGGCTTGCCAGCCAGGTGACCGGGTGGGAGTGGCTTGCCAGCCATGTGACTGGATGGGAGTGGCTTGGCAGTCATGTGATTGGGTGGGAGTGGCTTGACAGTCATGTGACCGGGTGGGAGTGGCCAAGACGATGTCACTGAATTCTTTGCCCCCATGGATGATCTACAAAAAGATATAAAAAGGAATTTTATTATTTTGTGTACTTACTACTTAAATAAGAGTAAAATAAGTACACAAAATGATAAAAGNCACTTTCTTGTGTTGTCTCAGATTTAGGAGGGACAAAGTTCTTAAATGGAGTTTAGTAACAAATAATAGACGATATTTATTAGAGTAGAGAGGGAGATTTTAGTCCTTAAGTTGAAAAATAAAGCAGGAAGGAGCCGAAGAAGAAAAACCGGTCTGTTCACTTTAAGCAGAGGGGAGACAGAGAGAGAAAATTGCAAGGAGCATTTCAATAGTTATAAAAAGAAAAGCATACTAACCAAAACAAAACAATCAAAATCAGTTCCACTGCTAACTTCTTCTGCTTGAGGATTTAGTTTAGCATAAAAAAGAGATTCTTTTGGGCAGTTTTTTTTTTCAAAACAGAAAGGATTCCACAGATGATCATACTTTCTCTTTCTGTTTCCTTCCGTTCCTTAGCCGTCCCCACTTCATCAGCCTAGACTGTCTTTTGTCACCAGTTTGAAGTCCTTCTCTTGTATCAATCAGAGACTTGTGTTGTCCCTGATATCAGCAAGACGTGGTCTTCCTGTTCACCGTCTCTTCGGGATGGTTTTGGTCCGATTGGACCCCCCAGTGGCAAAAGTATCGGCTGCAGTCTCAGAGAATCGAGACCACACGTCCGTACCATAGGGACATTGGCTCCTCCCAGGAATGGGTAATCTTAACCCATGGGTGTTAGAGGGTTTTTCAAATCCTTTTCTGTTTCCTACAGCCTTATGTGAGTACATGGCTAAAATTTATGGTAATGTTAAAATCTTTTGTGGGTAAGAGAAAAAACAAAATAGACTCTTTAAGACTTGCAGAGACTCAAAACATTCATAAAACCATTGAAAATTTGGGTCGATCTTTTTCATTTAGGTAGATTAACAGATTAATAGGTGGAGGGACACTAGAAAAGAGAAAAATGGGAGAAATAGAAGTATCCTGAAATTGGGTGCCTGAAATAGTGCGAGATCATGGTCCCCAGAAGCTTCTAGTCTCATGCAAAATGTTTGTAATCTGATCTGCTTAATGACCATGTGATTCACTTAACAACTGCAGTGATTTGCTTAAACATAGTAAAAAAAATCATACATTTGGGCATGAATCACTTAATAACTATGGAAATTCTGATCCCAGTTGTGGCTGTAAATTGAGGACTACTTCTATATAGTTACTGTCTGACTGTATTTAGGAATTACAGCCTAGAAGGGAAAGATTAACATCTATGATTTTTTTTTGTAACATATGGATATGTATGAAAATGTGCAATCCATGGATTCCATGCATCCATATTGCAATATTATGTAATCTGTGTTCATGTCACTGAAATTTAATGGCATCTAATTGAAATTGAAATTAATCTGCCAAACCTATGCAAATCAAAACATACTCAGTCCTACCATTAAAACTCCCAAATTACCCAGGATGCTCAAAACCAGTTATCATTCTACTAGAATCATTGCCTTATAGGTGGCTTCCTATAATTTAGTGCAGGATTGTCAAATTCAAGGCCCATGGGCTGGATCCGGCCTGCGAGATTCCAAGATCTGGCCTGCAGGCCTGTTGTGGAAACAGCAAAGGACTGGCCCGCAATGCTTCTGCCAGCAAAAATGGCACTTGGGAGGGCAATGACGGCCCTCCCGGGCTCCATTTTCAGCCGCAACGGCCTCCTATCCTTCTGCTAGTGAAAATGGAGCTCAGGAGAGCCATTTGAGCTCTGTTTTCACTGGCGGAGGGCTGGTTGAGGCTGTCGCAGCTGAAAATGCCCCAAGGTCAAAGACAATCCTGAGGTGGCCCGCAATGAAATCGAGTTTGACAATCTGGTTTAGCGGCTACAAAAACAAATATAAATCTCAGACTGCAAAATGTTTACAGTTCTGCCTATGTATTTCTCCTTATAAATTTGTATCCCAACAAGTTATCAACAAGTTGTCATTTTCTCTTTTTTGTCGAACTTTGAACGAAAGGAGAGAAATGGGGTGGGTGGAATGGATCTTGACTGGGACTACCAGAATCCAGCCACAGACGTTTTCTGTTTTTCGAACTTTGCTTTTCTAATACTTCATTCCAAGGGGGTTAGAGTTTAATAATAGCAAAGTAAGATTAACTTTTCAGGATTGTTATGAATATGACAAAATGTTTTTTTTAAATCTTTCCAACAATTATCAATGGAAGTCTTAAGCTAGGAAGTATGCACAATTCTCTGGATATAAGCTCCAGTGAATTCAATTAGACTAATTCCCGTGTAGATACATTTTATATTCTATAGTAATGCATAAATCAATGATCATTCTTTGTTTTATTTTAGGATTCCTGTCAGAAAGTGAAAGATTACATGAATGGTCCATTCGGACATTATATCATTAATGTGACTTTTGCAGCCAAGATTTGCAGCCATGTCCTTTGCAACAAAAAGGGAAGATGTGTTCGTAAACATAGTGATTCAAATGCCTTTTTGCACTTGTTTCCTGAAAGTTTTAGGATCATGGTGCAAGCCAATTCCACAGACAAAAAAGTGATTGTGAAAGGAAAACTGGAGTTGGAGAATTTGCGGTACCTAAGAAGTAAATTTATGTGTCAGTGTTACCAAGGCTGGATAGGACTATTTTGTGAAGAGCATTATATAAAAGAAGAAAATTAAATATCAGGAAATTAAATGCATTGAAGAGTCTTTTATTTATTCCCAAACAAAACAAAATTGTCACACAGATCACAAGACAAAGAAATCCAATTTTGATTTGAGGGCAATTCTATTAGATCTTCTGAAAACAACTCAGTGGTGGGTGGGATTCAATTTTTTTTTACCACCGGTTCTGTGGGTGTGGCTTTGTGGGCATGGTGTGGCTTTGTGGGCATGGTGTGGCTTTGTGGAATGACTTTGTGGGAGTGGCAGGGGAAGGATACTGCAAAATCCCCATTCTTTCCCCATTCTTGGGGGAAGGTTACTGCAAAATCGCCATTCCCTCCCCAATCCACTAACCTGCTTTCCAGCTCTATTCTCCTGTTCAGGGCAACAAAAGAAGATCAGCTGAAATGCTTGGAGGAAGCAGGAGCGAGGCCAGCCTGTTTGCTGGTTCTCCAAACTATAAATTTCCACTACAGGTTCTCCAGAACCTGTCAGAACTGGCTGAATACCACCTCTGGTACAACTTTTAAGTTTCTAAGAAAAGTAAGATGCTGTAATTAAAAATTAAGGGGAAAAAAGAATGCAGGTGGTTGTGTAATGTGTTTTGGAAGGAAGGATAGACATGACTGGTTTTCAGAGCCTGGGTCTACCTAATTAAGACTTTTGCTTCCTTTTTTCCTGCACTCTACTTGGAGTGGTCTTTCCTTACATCTAATACTTCTTCAGAGTCTCCAAAACTGAATTTATTCTTGTTACAATTGCAGCCACATTTTTTTTGCTTCTATCCTCCTCCCACTCCTCCCTGCCCCCAAATGTTAAAGTATCGTGCTAGATGAAAAGCTCCTGGGATTTGAAAGATTGCAATCATTTCGTTAATCTTTAGTACTCCAATCCACTCCCGTATTGATTCTGAATACCTTATCAGAAGTTATGTGCTAATTAATTCACTAACAGCCAAATTTCAACTTTTGTAGCAATTTCCTTCAGAGTGGGCAAAGGGTACAGGCAAAAATATGGGGGCCTATTTATGAAAGAAGAGAAGAATGACTGGGTTGTGGGGAAGATAATCAAAATGGTTGCCTTATGCCAGAAAATAAGGTTCCGTTTCTTTCCTTAAACCTTCAATGCCTCTAAGTGCTGATTTCCTTCATAATAGAGTAGGGATTAAAAGAAAAAATCAGTACTTTAAGGTTATGCAACACTTAAAGCACTACTTTGTTCCCTTGACCAATACCTCAAGACCAATCTTTCCCAAAGGCCTCATACTCTAGCTTTGTCCTCTTCAGAAATGCAATGACATCACTAGTTTTGCTATTCAGTTCTTGCAGATCAAGGGATTCCTTGCAGTTTATTTTTAGGTGTTTTCCTGAATACAAAGCAAAGGAAGCTTCTTGTTCAATAGTTAGGTAGTCAACTGTCTCGTATACATTTCAGTTGCAAAATATCTTTCTAATTAATTCGGCGAGGTCTCACTTGCCATCTTCAGGCTGGTGTTTTTGGCTTAAAGCGTGGCCGGAGCTGCTGTCTTTCTATAAATCTTGGTGGGGCGTGTGGAGTGCTGGCATTGTTTCAATAAGTTGTTTGATTGGATGTTTATCATGATTGGTAGATTGGTGCTGATTGGTGCTGGCTGTGGGTCTGTTGTTGTTTTGTGTTGTAACAGTCTGGGTGGTGGATGGGGCTCGTTTGTTTACCAGGGCTGGTTTCCAGATGTCTGGTAGGTGGGAGATATCA